TGTTAGAGACCTAATTAAGATGATATTCAGTCCTGATGAAGAGAAAATACGAAGGAGCATCAGACAAAAATTCAATGGTTGATGAAACTTGGTTTAATTGTTTCGTTCAGTTTGCGTTCAAAATAATTTGATTTCATTTACTCTGCTAAAAAAGGCAGTTCATAATTGTTATAAATCTGTTTTTATAAATGATTACATGATGTATCAGCACAAAGTGAAATAAGATTAAAAACAACAAAACATAGTATAAAGCTATGTAATAAAAGTCTCGTGTCAACAAAATTACATCTTGTACATAATTTGGCAAATCCCTCTCTGTATCTAGTCCACCAGCGGATCAACGGTAAGTTTCTGAACTTAAACTGCTAAAATCCGGGGTTCGATTATTCATGATAATTAGAGTACAGAGAGCCCATTGTGCACATTTCGCTAAAAATAATCATCAATTCTTTATCTTGGGTCTCTGTCACTTCCTGATAGCAGAGACATCTAGTTGTGGTTCGTATTACTGAGCTCTGAGAGTAGAACAGGACAAAAGTCGCCAAGAAAGACTGATGATAGAAATTGAGATGACCTACAAAAAAGATATTGTTTTGTGCGTATTGTTACTGTTTGCTATTGTTCTTGATAGTGTGTATTAGTTAGGAGTTCTCTGACATGCAATTATAAAACTTAGCTGTAAACTGAAAAGTTAAAGATTGAAGTGAACAATCGCGATCAAGTACATGTTGTTTTCAAAGCTCATAGAAGTGTGTAAGCTGATCCTGATACTTAGATGGAGTGGTTACTGATTACAAGATAATCGACAGATAGGTTACTTAAAGCTTAGGTTGATATTAATGTAGTTTATGTTGGTAAGATAAAGAGTAAACAATAAAAATAAGTAACAAGTGTAAAACTAACATTATTGTTGGGTATGTGAGCCGGATTAAATCATAAGTAGCAAGTGTAAATCTAACATTATTGTTGGGTATGTGAGCCGGATTATCCATAAGTAGCAAGTGTAAATCTAACATTATTGTTGGGTATGTGAGCCGGATTAAATCATAAGTAGCAAGTGTAAATCTAACATTATTGTTGGGTGTGTGAGCCGGATTATCTATAAGTAGCAAGTGTAAATCTAACATTATTGTTGGGCATGTGAGCCAGATTAAACCATAAGTAGCAAGTGTAAATCTAACATTATTGTTGGGCATGTGAGCCAGATTAAACCATAGGATATAGATTACAGTTGAATATTACACATAAAAATCCATAAAGAAGAGAAGACCAGGGACAGTAAGGATACTAGGTTGGGGAGGTTAAGAATAACTTATTAATGTAGTTAAGGTCAGCACTTGACCAAAAGTAAACTGTGACTAGATGTTTACGCATGAGGTATTGATGATTATAAAAGTAAGACGTTAAAGTTCACAGTAATTAAAATAGTTAAAAAATAAAAATGTATATCATAATGAACTAATGAATATGGGACAAAACATAACTGTGTTAGGAGTCAGGACATAAACAATTTTTGAAAGCATGGGATAAGCATTAATTATAAGCTTAGACTAGAGATTGAAAAGGTTGATAGATATCGGGATAGTTTTATGCTGTAGTTAATTTTTTTGTTGTTAGGAGGAAGACTATATTGGGTAACAAAAATCTTGTCTTAGCTAGAAATAGTTTCAAGAAAACAAAGAGATGCAGATATCATTCTTATGGCAAAGCTATAATACACTTTTATAACTTCTTAATATTTCTTTTTTTCACATTCTAGTAATTTAGGGCAATTATTTTAGGGTAAAATCTTAGTCACTTCCAAAGCATGGTGACTTAGAAAGACTCCTTAGTCAGTAAGTGTTCGGTGCATTTGAGAAGTTATGAGAAAACCTGTTGCTTCTGCAGTTTTTGACAACCTTACAGTCGTATTGATCTGACAGAAAGGGAAACAAAACTGTTAACTATCACAGAAGTCAGGACCAGTAAGGAAGTTTGACTGTTTTGTGCGTAAGTTTGTGTATCTCTGAAAAGTGGAGACCTCAAGCCACATTTTATCACAGTACTTCACTCTAATTATATGTGTGGTTCCAGTTCCTCTGAAGAAAGGTGGATAACACAAGGAAGAGATACACACAATGATCCTACAGTCTCCCAGGTGGTGCAGTCAGAGGTCGTCTGCAGGTTCACAACCATTACGATGGATATCACAGCCAAGATGAGTCGGGCCATTGGAGCAACTAGTTTCAGTAGCAGAACCAAACTTCACAGAAGTGATTCTAATATGACCAGAGCCACAATCAAGAATCAAAATACCATCATCAGTAGAGACAAATGATTTATGAATTCCACCATCAGGGCAGAACCAGGAACGTCCTACATTACAAGTAAAAACAAAAAAGTTTTGAAAAAATTATGGATGATGTAGGGATGACAATGACAAAGAGTAGGGATGAATACACAAAACCATACAAAAATCCCTACATGAGTAAGCAAATATTTCCAAGAAAAACTTTTATCTACAACTAAATGTTAAATTATTTTCATTTGCACGAATTCAGGCTTGAATAAAAACATTTAAACTAAATTGTGCTGTAAAGTCTTACAAGGTTAATTCCCATAAACTTGTAACATTGACTCAGTGGCTATTTATGTAGGAAGTTTTTTATAGTTTTGTGTATTCATACATACCTTGTTTCTGTACTTTTTAGCATTGCAATCCGTACATCATCCTTATTTTTCAATTTTTTAAAATTGTTTCCCATCTTTTTTTTAAACAATACCAATGAATATTTTATAATGAATGGCAGTCGCTATGGAGTATGGAGACAGCAGTTTTAGTCTGGCGTGATGATTCGTCTTGATAGATATCATATGTTGAAATTAGTGAAACATTATACTGCTTCTACACTCTCCAAGTTAAAATGCAATATTATGGTGTGTAAATCATCGCAACAACTTTAAGCATTGGTGAGTTAGCCCTTCTGGCTCCAGAAGCAGAATAATCAGTCGAACATTTGGTTGTCATGGTACTCGCCGGTACTCTACTTTAGCGATGTATTTTTTCGCCTAAACTGAAGGCCATAATAGCTTTGTAAAACATCGAAAACCAAAGTAAGGTATTTATAAAAAAAAATTCTTAGATTGTTATAAGAGAGATTTGAGACTCTGATGAGCAATACATAATATGCATCGGACATTTTTTTCCAGCCCATTTCTACATATACTAAGCACTACAGTACTTAGTGATGCAAATCATCCTTTTGAAACCATTGCTGGAATCCACCCTCACAAAAGAAGAAAAACCAGCAGCTCAAGGAACAAATGATTCGGTTCCATTTAGGTATCAGTAGTGATAAGGATAACTGTAAAAATATCAGGAGCCTTCTCATTGAACAATCCTTGAATTATTTCTCCCTGGGCAGGTACTTTTTTTTCACTTGCGTTATTGCTAGAATCAAGTCGACATATTTAGATATGTCCACTTGGTAACACCCTATATATTAGGTATTTGGGCCATAAGTAGTAAGTGTAAACCTGAATTTACTTTTAGACATTGTTTAACACCCTCCTATCTATTTATACATGTGATATCACTTAGTAACACCACCAGAGCAAACGCAATAACTCTCACTGAATACTCATTTGCTATTTAAGTGAATACTTCACGCTAAATACTTGACTTTCACAGGCACTCTACTACACGATATTTCTTAAAGTTTTTTTATCATTACACCATCATTATTAGCAGCTTTTTCTAGCAGACGTCTAAATTAAAACACTAAAAATATAACATACAACAATACTTACAGTATGATTGGGGCTGCAGATAACAAATTACTCTATATGATCACCCAATTCTCATTATTTGTTAGTTACTATTTATTACTAACTAGCTTGCATCCTAGATTTTGTCTACTAACCTTTTGTGTGTTTAAGGAAGTCCAAAAGGACTATATGACGGTTGTGACCAGGGTTCAGACCTGAGCCTTCTTTTAGTACTTTCAAGAATGAACAAGATTTGTAGTACCCAAGAAGATGGCGAGAAAAGGGAACAGAAATATATACATACTATAACCCTATTGATATTGAATACCCAGAAAATTCAATAAAAATTAAATTGAACACAATGAACAGGAAGAAAACTACTGACAGCCATCTTTCCATATATCTACGGTCTTATAACGGATCCACAAGACTCTGTAATAAGAAAATCTGCAATAACACATAATGCCAGAGAAAAAGACTATACAATAAATTGGAATTATCCTAAAATAATCGGATATGATTCACCTTAGACTTAGTAACTTAAGTGATAATAGTGTTACGACAGCCGAAGTCACGCGACGCTGGGAGCATGCGCGCTGGAGTTTCTAGAAGGATAATGAATTTTCCTGGCAACTCTAGTTTGTTCGAGGCGCCTTCTTTTTTCGTTTATAAGCCTGGCGAGAAAAACCAGCGCGAGCGGGCAGATAGATTGAAGAGATAGATAATTGAGTCAAACGAACAGTAGGCACCGTAAGTAAAGTGTGTGAATCACTGCGATTTATAGCGTGTGTTATAAAGGTTGTTAAGTTTAAAGTGACTGTGGAAGTTCTGTGTATTACAAAGTTGTATCGAGAAATAATAAACTAGTTTTAATTAAGAAAGAACTTGTATCGCTGAAGTTCCTCCGGAATTACCGGAAATTAGCAAACGACCAGATACGTAACAATACACTCGGCAAGCCTAGTAGATAATTTCGTAAAACCAAGTCACTACTCTTAAAAGTATTCAAATAAGTTAGTCACTTAAAGTCCTTACGGGAGAGATACATACGAAATTTGATTTTCTCTAAAAAATGAATATTTATTGATCTTATAATATACCTACGGCCCCAAAGTACAACAGACTGCAATTATGGACCCTCGGATTCTTAATTAAGTTACCACTCGCAATGGATTTTAATATAATGAAATAACGTTTTCCTCACCAGAGGGCAGAAAGAATAACCGAAATACAGGCACACGTGAGTGAATGTAGTATTGAGTGAACGTATTTCATGTGTTTAAAATAGCGTAAATAATGCATTAATATAATAAATAATAATAAAGTTAATATTTTTCTTATTGTTTTGAGAAAGGTTGGTGATAAAAATATTGAGCTTTTCTAATAAGTAGTTACATCTGCTTCAATTTGAAAATTGAGCTTGAAGTTGAACTTGTTAAGAACTAAAGCCTGTAAAGAAGATTCTTGATGAAGTTGATGTTTTGCGTGCTACAGTGTAATTTTTAGCTACTGCTCTAAAACTAAAGTATAGACAAAAAGTGTAGGCAAAAGTCTGAGTGAATTTTAATTTTAGAATTTTTAGCTATAACGTTAGTGTGAAATCACAATGGGTGTTTTCTGTTACTGTTAGTTTAACACTATGAATTATGATGGTATTGGTAGTGTTAGAAATTATTAGGTTGTCAGAAAAATAGAAGAATGTTGGGTAATACTGTAACTATGCCAATATTTTGATTCTACTCGTACTTCTACAAGTTCTAGTGGTTCTTCTTAATGCTAAAGTTCTATATTAAAGCTACCCAAATGCATACGTTGTCTGAAAATTTTTATTATTCTCTTGGTCAATATTACTTTAGTTCTGACATGGCATCAGGACATTTATATGGGACTTCCCTGTTTTGGAGAGATTAACATAACATAATGTTTTGGGACAAAATGAGACCTATTGGTCCATCTCGGCTGTCCCATCCTCTAAACTAGACTAAAATTATTGATAAGTAAATTAAAAACAAATCTTAAAGCCATTTCTTATCATCCATATACTTATCAAGCTTTCTCTTAAACTCACTTAAATTTACTGCCTCCACAACATCCGAAGGTAACCATTCCAAAGACCAACCACCCTGTTAGAAAAATAAAACTGTTTCAGCTGAAGATGCCTCCTACCCTGCCAAAATTTATATTTGTGTCCCATTGTCCTACTATTCTCATTGTTAAATATAAAAAAGGTGATATATCAACACTATCAATTCCCTTTACAATCTTAAACACCTCAATCAGATCCCTCCCTAACTCATATTTTTTCAAAAGAAAACAATTTGAGAGATTTCAGCCTCTCGTCGTATGACAACTCTTTCAACCCAGGCACCATTCTAGTAACCCTCCTCTGAACTCTTTCCAACAATTCCATGTCCTTCATTAGGTAAGGAGCCCAAGACTGAACATATTACTCCAAATGTGGCCTAACCAGTGACATATACAATGAAATTATAACCTCTTTAGTCTTGTATTCAGTATTTCTGTAGATACAACCTAAAACCCTATTTGACCTACTACTAGCAACAACAACACTGCTTGGATGTTTTAAGAGACTGATCAACTATTACACCAAGATCCTTTTCTTTCATGGCAGTATTAAGGTTATTTCCAGCTAAATTATACTTATAATTCAAATTATGATAATCCACATGCATTATCTTGCACTTATTATAATCAAAACCCATTTGCCACTTATTTGCCCAACTCACTAAATGATTTAAATTATTTTATAAATTAGCAACATCCTCTTCACAGCTAGCAACATCCAAGATCTTAACTTAATATCATCTGCAAATTTATATAATTTATTGATCATTCCTTCATCTATATCATTGAGCCAAAGGTACTCCATTGATTAATCTAGTTTGATTGAATTCCATTTGTAACAATAATCTGCTGTCTTCCATCCAGCCACTCTTTTTATCCAATTTGCTAACTTATCTCCCACACCTATAGAGAATTATTTTTACAAACCTTTTACGTGGCACCTTTTCAAATGCTTTCTGAAAATCCAGATACACCAAATCTACACCTTTACCCTCATCTACATAAGCAGTAGCCTTATCAAAGAATGTCAAAGTTTTGTAAGGCAAGATTTTCCCTTAGTGAAACCATGTTGACTATCCAATAAAATTCTAAACTTTGTTAAATGGCTTTGCAAAGCATTTTTAACAGATTTTCCAAACCTTTTCCCACAACTGATGTAAGACTAATGGGTCTATAATTACTGGGACTATTTTTATCACCTTCCTTGAAAAGAGGAGTTACATTAGCTAATTTCCAATCCTCTGGTACCTGCTCACTATTCAAGGACTGACAAAGAATAGTAGCAAGTGGTTCACATATCCAATCCTTAACCTTCTTCAAAACCCTTGGGGAATATCTGGCCCAGGAACCTAAAATTTTTTAATATTTCAGTAAGTTTTAGAATTAATGTGATTATCTTATTTTCATCTAGCAACTGTTCAGGACAAGGAATATTGTTTAAATTGTAATGTGTAAAATTTAAAGCAAAAGTAGAATTTAGTAAACCTGCCATTCCATAATCTTTAGATATGAGATTTCCCTTATCATCCATCAAAGAATTCTTACTGTTAAATTTTACACTTTCAGCCAACTTTTTTTTCCATGTACCCTTAATTTCCTGTTTGGTCAACTTTCTTGACCTTATATAATCTTGCAAGTCTCCTGTTGTAGCAGTTAATTTAAACTTCATAAATTTATAATGCTTTTCATTCATTTGATCACTTATATCCTTTATGAGCCAAAAGTTTTTTTCATTGCAGTCATTTTTTTTCTATAAGAAACACGTCTATCTTGAATTTAAAAAAAAATTCTATATTTGATAAGTATCTCCAATTAATGTAGTTGCCCAATTCACATCAGATAATTGTTGTTGCATTTTTCAAAATTTGTGAACAAAATCTCATTATTTCTGATCTCTATATGCAGTTAAACATTGAACCTATTGAACAATGATCACTTGCACCCAGATGTTCCCCAATTTCTACCCATTCAACCATTTCTATATTAGAAGTTAAAAATAAATCTAAAGTAGCATTGTTTCTAGTAGGTTTCCTAACCAATTGGTGAAGAAAACATCCCAAACACTTTTTAAAAACCTGTCTCTATCATGGACTCTTAACATTTCCCAATCTATATGCTTGAAATTAAAATCTCCCATAATTATCATCTCATTTACAGCTGAAATATTATTCTCACTAGGAGTTTTACATTGATTTCATCAGTTTCATTTGATAGTCTGTAATACATTCTAGCTAAAATTCTTCTCTCCCTATATCTGCTAACAGAAACTCAAATAAATTCAATCTTCCTGCCATTTTCTTTGATGCCCTCAACTTCATCTGGATGTAATTCACATTTGACATATAAGCCACTCTTCGCCTTTGTGCTCCTTTGCTATTAAACAACCTATAATGCTCTATGTCAAAGAAATTTCTCCCATAAGAGTTTTCTATATTCAACTAAGTCTCAGGCATTCCCATTATATCAAAATCCTCCATTCTGACTGATTCTTTAAAATCCTTTATTTTATTTCTTATACTTTCATCATTCCAATAATGACAGTCTATCCTTAAAACTACTGTCATGGCCTGATTATAGGGTGATCTCGAATGTAAGGTGACCCCCTATTTCAGAAACCATGGGAAAGAAAAAAATTGAGTGTCATAACATCCTTTTTTAGGTCAACAAAATCAGTACTGTAACTGAACAGCCTGTAAATGGATTAGTTGCAAGAATTGGCAATGACCTTGAGCAAGCATTTGGCATGCATGTGTAGAGGAATGCTATCTGGACATTCAGGAATGTGACAGGCTAGAGTAGGAGAAGAGGCCTGTGGTCAGCCTGTGAACTTTACAGCCTAATTATTAATCAAAAAAACATTGCCTTATATTCAGACTAATATATCTTAACTTTCTTTCTACACAACACTTTTCTCTGCATCTTATATTTTTTGCATTTAGTTTATTCTGCCCCTCATTACTGTCTGGTCCTAGCACAAAGGTGCTCTTACTACTTTGTTTATAATCCTTGCAAACAAGTCAGCTCCTACCATAAATGTAAACCAATCATTTCCAAAAAACCTTGAATTCAGTTCTAGTGACACACTTATAATTTCATCTCCACAGGTAACTCTTGATGCTATCCCTTACACAATTAAGTTATATATTCCTCTGTACTTTCTATTATAATAGTAAATTTCACTTTCATATAAGCATGGTATTCTTCATTATTGAATCTTTGTCGTTCATTATTTAAGTATACGAGTTAGATAACATTTTGAAGATGCTTGTAATGACTGATTACATTAAAAAAAAAGGTTCTGTTATTCAGAATGTTCTGAATGAGCTAGAACATGAAATATAGTTTTGATATTGTGAAGTGTGAATTATGTATTTGGGGTAAGGAGTTTTGAAAGGACTTATTGTGTGAAAAGATCACTGGTGTGGAAGTAGTGATTTAGATGTGATTATTGAAAAAATCATAAAGTCTTCAGCTGAATGTTTAGCTGTGGTGAAAAGAATGAGTAGTTACACATCCAGTTTATAAAATATTACCTGTATATGTAGTTTTGGTCCTTTTTTGTTAATGAAACTGTGAGTTTGTAATGTATGTATGTTAATTTGAACATATTTTGTTGTCACACGGTATAATTTTACTTGTCCATTTACAGATTTTTGATCACACAAAGTACAGTCAGTTATAATGCCAGAGCTCATTGTGGATGGGATTAACATTACCAACTTAACTGATGATGAACTTTTTGTGTGGTTGAAAGAAGCTGGAGTGGATGTTGGACCAATTATTGGTAAGTGTCAGTTAATAGTGATAAAATACTAAAGTTTTCATGTAACTGAATCATATTTGTATAAAGTGCATTATGATGATTGTGTAGTCACTCTTGGAGCAAAAATACATAATTTTATGATTGAAAAAACCTTTTAATGTGACTTTCATCAAAAAACTTATCTGCTTACTTGGTTAATAGTGTTTTGCACCATTTTCACTGTTCTTTATCCATAATACTTCAACAATCCTGTAAATCTTCAGTATTTACGTCATAAAAGTTTTACAGATACTTTATTGGTTTATATAATGTTTTCTACAACCAATAACAGCTTTAGTGTTTATCGATCTACTTTGACTTTTTCCCTTTGCATTTTTCTCCCCTCTGTAAGTCAGGTTCTGTCAGTAGGGATACTTTATTTTCACAGGTTCACCTACCTTATTCTTTTCTATGAGATATTTGCCTGCCCCCTTTCTTCACCCCGACATTTTTGGAGGTATTCCTGGTTCCATTGACTCCTAGGCTGAGGCTGCCCATTATCAATCATCACTATCATCTTTAGTTTCCCAATTGACTCAAACCCTCCCTCCATCTCTATTCCTTATGCAAACTACTCTGATTCCTGACTTTGATTCCCACTTCCTGGCCTTTCTCTTCCACCCGTCCTACGTCTAGATGATGTCAGACTCGGTGAGATCATTGATGACTACCTTGTAGGTTTGTGACCTATTGCAGCTTACACTTTTCTGCTGTCAGATGAGTTACTCATGTTCTCTTATCTAGGGATTTTCTTTCCATTTCTCTTCTCTTCCCCCTCTCAGTCCTAATCCTGTTTTCCTTCCTATTCCTTTCACCTCTGGCTATTTTCGACATCTCAAGGAGGTGGTGTTGGGCTTACTGGACAAATAAGCCATAGAGAAGGTGTACAACCTTCAGGGGTTTTACTCTCATCTCTTTGTGACCAGAGACTAGCATCCTGTTAGCAACCTTACCTCCCTCAATCACTTCCTAGTCATCCAACTCTTTAAGTTGGAAAAACTTTCTTTCTGTCCATTGGTAATTTTTGCCCAGACTGTGGATGACCAAGGTAAATGTTTTGAATGTGTTTCTGCATATCCCAATTGCTGTGTTCTAATGACATTTCCTTCACTTCATACACCGGGATCGTACCTTCCAGTTTTGAACTCTTTTGTTTGGCATAGTATCCACTCCTTACATTGTCAGCTGCATTGTCAGAGCCCTCACTTGTCATCTGCACAGACTAGAGCTGCAATTCCATTTCTACATAGACAGTTGGCTCCTCCTGTCCCACACCCAAGATGAGCCCAACTTTCTTCTGCAGGAGGCTGCCCATCTTGGATGGCTCGTTAAAATTTCCAAATCATTTCTCATTTCCACCCAATATCTTGTTCACCTGGAAGTTTTCTTGAACTTCGTTCTCAGCCAT